TAACACATATTCTAAGGGTTTCAAGCAGCTGATACAGCACACACACACAAAAAGCAAATGGTTATTTACCTGTATAACTTAAAGGACTAAGACTGCTATGTTTTTATAGTTTTTCTGATTACAATCAGTTGTTACTTTCAAATGTAAGAGTTTATCTGCACTGCTTTTATCCTGCTGCTTTATTTTATAGTAGAGACACAGGAGAGAAACTACTCCTTTGGGTGAAAGCTCTTTTAACGAAATAAAGACTATTCATCAAGAGGGCTCTTTTCTTACTTCCAAATTGAGGTTGTATCGCAGAACCTTAGATTAACAGCAACCTGACCTCTGGTTGAATAGCAAATTATTGTGTATACTCCTAAACCTAGTATTACCATTCAGGTAAATTATTTTTTGGAAAACAGAAACACCGAACCAAATGGTCTATTCACCTGAACTCTTTGTTCAAGAACACAAAATAACAGTAATTTAAACATTAAGCTCGCAATACATATATAAGCCTGAAAATAACCACAGCAAGTTGAAATACAGAATGTCTTTTACAGAACAAGAATAGGGAATTTATTTTCCTGCCTATTCACATTAAACTCTTACCATAAGAGAGGAGAATTTTTCATTACCTCAGGAAAAAAAAAAAAAGGCCAGAAATGTCTTTTGTAGGATGGAAATATTAAAATCTAGCTCAAACTTAAAAAGTGATGAAAGGAAGAAGGGAGGTATTATATTCTCCTAAGTTTATTACCTTATCCATGCTTATAGGAGCTTTGCCAGATAAACATATCAACATTTCATCACTCCTGAATCAACAGTCATCACTTTGTCATTATAAAAGGCGCCCACTGATTTTTAGATTTCTTTAGATTCAAAGGTTTATCTTAAAGCTATGATATCCTATTAAAAGGGTGGATGTTTTATTTGTAAAAGTAACATTAAAAACATTTTTTGGAAAAAAAAATAGACACATCTAATTCAATAAAGATTGTTTAGTCTTTTTATTGCATTTTTAAAGTTAACTCTAGTACACCTTTTAATTTGCAGTTAAGGTTTTATTTCCCAATTCTTTCACAGATAAAATTCTAAGGAATTTTCAGGCCCTGATTAATCCAGTGTCTTCCCAAATTTTGGCCACCAATCAGATATGAAATGATTTTATGGGGCCCAAGGAGAGGGCTAAGTGACACTACTAAATCAGTGAGGAATTTATTCCCTCTTCATTCTAATTCCTCTGACTGCATCAGGAAGTTCTCAGATTGATGGCAGAATGTTATCAATACCTCTGTAATTCTTGCTAATCTCCCTTCTAAACAAAGAACAGTAAATTTCAGGCTTAAGAGTGTTCAATAGCCAATAGCGTCTAGAATTTAACAAGTTTCGTTTTCATTATTTTCAACTTTATGTCTACCTTTTGTTGATGGCAAGTGATGAAATAACAAGTTTTCTTTTCTTTTTTTTTTAAGATTTTATCTATTTATTTGACAGAGAGAGAGCGTGAGCAGGAACACAAGCAGGGTGAGTGGGAGAGGGAGAAGATGGCTTCCTGCGGAGCTCGATCCCAGGACGCTGGGATCATGACCTGAGTCGAAGGCAGACGCTCAAAGACTGAGTCACCCAACTTGAACACCCTTCAAGTTTTCTTTAAAAATTATATTAATAACTACACGGATATAAAGAAAAACACAGAAACTAAGTCTACAGGAAATACACAGATATGGTCAAAATTCTGAAGATGATGTAAGAATGACTGACATTCGAGAAATACTACACTTACCCATGTGGTCAAGAAATAAATATAAGTACCTACCATGAACTATGAGCATACCATTGGTTTAGCCATCAAGGACAGAAAATGATAAATGCTGACAGGAAAGTCAGAAGAGAACAAAGTTACTTCAAAAAAGGATTCACAGACAAGGTGGCACTGGAGCTAGGATAGTATGAAGTAGACATGCCAAGGCAGAGAGCATGCATTTGAAGAAAGCAAAAGCATAATAATACAGGCCTGAGTGGTGGCATGTTCTAAATCTTGATTGTGTTGGTGGTTACCCAGGTATGTATATAATGTACACATAAAATGAATGCACATTATCTGTAATTTTTTCCTTAAATTTGGTACCATGTCTTTGACCTATGCAATGAAAACTTATTGAGGTTTTAGGCTTGGATAGCTTGGCGGGGCGGGGCGGCGGGGGAGGGGGGGTAAATAGGTAAATACAATAAAAGGAAATCACCATTTAAAGACAAGGGAATCAAAAGTACTTATTTTCATAACGTAAATTTTCAATAAAACCTGTAAGCTATTACACAAAACTTGCAGCTCTATACTTCTCAACAGTTTCATTTCAGGGAGAAAATCTACCTGAATTAAGGGTTACCTATTAAATGTATTGTTCCCACCCCTGCCCCCCCCCCCCCCCAAACAAAGGAGCACATTAATAGCACTCACTCCTAACAAAGTAACAAAGAACAGACTAAAATGGCCATACTGGCTGTGTGCTAGTGACACCTGACAGAATTTAGCAAAATAATTTAAGATTGCATTCAACACTTAGATCCCGTTGATCAGCAACTCAGAAATGACTGCCTTAGTATGTGTTTTAACCTTGAACTCTTTCCAATGATCTAAGCTCTTAAAATTTAGTTATTAATTATTAAGTATATTTCAAGTGGCTTTTATTACATTTCATAGTTTTAAAAGCTCATGACTAGAGAGGGAACTCATGCACAGTAAAAATAATGCCATTGTCAACAAGTCTTGTTGGAACTTTATAATGCCATTCTCAATAAAATTAATGACTCAGTCTCATAAAATTAATGACTTAACCATAAAATCAAATCCAAATGTGAATTAATTATGGTTATAGAAAAGCATCAAGAGACCAGGAAAAAAAAAAGATAGTCTTCCTCTGCCATAAATCAAAGCATTAAAGTGCACTGAACCCTATGTGCATCCTTAATATTTTACTAAGGAAAATACAAGCCTTTTGTTACATCAGTGTGTTGCCACTATATCCTTATGCCCCAGGAAGCTTAAACTGAAAGCTAGAAAGCATAACGTAGGGAATTTTAGAGCTGAAAGGAGACCGAGCTCTAATATAGGCAGTCCAACTCATGAGAGTTCGATTTACAATTTTTCACAGTGGCAGCAAGCCTCAGCTCCTAGTCAGCCCTGCAATCATGAGGGTAAACAACTGATACGCTTACAACCATTCTTTATCCACACAATCATTGTTTTTCACTTTCAGTACAATATTCAATAAATTACATGAGATACTCAAAACTTTTATAGTAAAATGAGCTTTGATAGATTTTGCCCAACTGTAGGCTAATATAAGTATTGTGAGCATATGTAACATAGATGTATTGAATGCCTTTTCAAATTACATTTCAATTTATGATGGGTTTATCAGGACATAACCCCATCATAAGTAGAGGAAGATCTGTATAGTAATTTTCAAATTGGTATTCTATGTAATTATATTCCATATGTTAACAGGTTGGCCATGAGAAAATAGGCTTTCTGGCCAGGTAAGACCATTTTAACCTTATGTGTTCCTAAATTATTTGTCAAGGAACAGTTTTGGGGGCAGTAAGGCTGTTACTGGACTAAGCACAGTGTTGAGGAGAAACATCAGTTTGGAAAATTCTGATCTTATGAAATTCCCTTAAACGGATGACAAAACTGAGGCCTAGAGAGATCACATCTGGTTAGCAGGAGAAAAAAGAATGCGAACAAAATCTTTCATTCCCAGGCCAGAGCTCTTTTCATTTTAACTACAAAATAGGCTCTTTAAACTGTATATAGTCAAACATTTAATTTACATTTAACATTTTGGTTACGGTGTCACATTTTCTGGTTTGTGTACTAACTCAGATGTTTTTAATTCCTTCAAGACCTGGGTTTCTATTAATTAGACCCACCTGGAGATTTACTATTGTTTAGTACTAATGAGGAATGATTTCGTTCAGAGTGGCAGCTTAAAGTAATCACTGGAATAAAGCATTTGTATTACAACTGGTTTTTAATTTACCCTTGTTACAACTTGTCAGCTCAACTAAACCACTGTGTTGTTTATTAAGTGAATTTCTTAGCATATAATGTCAACATATGCTGTCCATGAGAACAGACGAGATCTGCCTGCGTAGAAGAGAGCCAACAAGATCAAAATTGAGGGATTTGTGTCTTTCTACAGTTCTGGGCTTATTTGTCAGGCAAACACTTAGTTTCCTATCTTTTCGGTAATTATCAAAAAAATGTTTTGACTGCTTTAACTACAGTGTCCAAATCAGATTATCACAGTATATTTCTCAAACTCCCCAGAACTGTAAGATAGTGTAAGAAACACAATTCGTTCAGCTTTAAAGTAGTTATGTACCACTCCCCCTCCCCCCTCAGGGTAGGAGAGAAGAATGGAAGAGACCGAACAAGTAACTATAGTTATGCTGCCACTTTAAAAGGCTTGAGAATCAAAGGTGATAACGGTTAACAACTTCCTTATGACTCCCTGACTTCCTCTAATAAACTTCTGCACTCCTTTCGAACCTCCCCCCCCCCCCCGCCATGGAACATTAACTATGGCAGGCATTCATGTCTCCTCAATCTTAAAAGAACCCAACAGATGAATGAGACGGCACGAAGCCTGGATTCCACCAACAAAGAGGTTACTCTGCGCGCCTTTATCGCACAGGTGCGACCTCCACCCCAACCTTGCGCATCGCTGGGCCCCAGCGCAGGAGGCTCGGGAGCGGCCACCCCTGCCTGGGGCCGCCCTGGAGCCTCCGCCCGGCCCGCCGAACCCCCGCGCAGCTCCCGCCTCTCCGGAAACCGGAGGGCGGCCGGCCGGTTTCCAGGCTCCAGGCGAGGCCAGGGCGGCAACACCCCGGACGCCACAGCAGCTTGCCCCGCGGGCCGTCCCCGCGGCTCCGGAACCAGCCAGGCCGAGGAGGCCGCTCAGGGCCGGCAGCCAGCCTCGCGACCGCGCTGGGGGCGGGGACGCTGTTACCTGCCGTGGGCTCGGCCGCTCCCCGCCGGCGCCGCTCTCCTGGCAACCGCGGCAGCGACGCAGAGGCCGGGAGCCGAAGGGCCTAGTGACAGCTCCCAGTGTGCACTGCGCCCGCGCCCACGCCGGCGTCAACGTCGACGGCCCTCGATCCCCGCCCCCGGTCCGTGCCTCGCCTCCCGGCGCTAGTTGTCGCCACAGCGCCCTCAAGCGGACGGTTGGGGAAGCAGCCCATAGCCACCAACTTCGCGGATGGTGTTTTCAACTCGCCAGCGCCAGCAACATCTTAATGGAGAGTTGGAAGGAATGCTAGGAATTGAGGACAGCTTTTATATATTATTTAAACAATCATTTAAGTGTTATTTAAACGATTCCTCGATATTTCATATGAGGAACTTGAGGCCCAGAAAAGTTGGGAGACTGGTGAAGTTAGGAGATAAATAGTTGTTATAAGATTTGGACACATTTTGAGTTTGTTCTCTCTCTAAATCATGTAGTTACTACAAGGAAGATTGCACTGTTTTGCCTAAACCGTAGGGTCAAAGAAAAAAAAAAGATTGTTTTTTACAAATGTGTGACTGTATATTAAATATAACAATCTTTTTTTCTTTTTTTTAAAGATTTTATTCACTTATTTGAGAGAGAGAGAGCAAGCGCGAGAGGGGGTAGAGTGAGAGGGAGAAGTGGACTCCTCCCTGAGCAGGGAGCCTGAGGTGGGACTCAGTGAGGGGACTGCAGGATCATGACCCCAGCCGAAGGCAGTTGCTTAACCAACTGAGCCACCCAGGCACCCTGAAATATAGCAATCTTTAAAAATAAACACCAAGTATGAAGAGCATGTTGTGCTGAGACTGTTAAATATTTCAATATAATGTGGCAGTATTTAAGACTTAATAGCTTTGAGAACTAAAGGTGGAAGATATTAGGAGTTGGAATCATCACCCATGATCACCATTATTTGAGGTGGAATAGTGGAAAACTTAATTCTTTTAACTGCGTTGTTACCTCCATCCATGATTTTGAATTATTGTTGCGGATACAGGAATTTGTGAAGCACCACAATAAACTTTAAGAACTGCAAATACTGACTTTAAGAAGATTCGTCTTAAAATAGTATCTCTAGGGATGTGGATTTGTTATTTGGAAAATCTTCGCATTAAGAGGCTATCAATAAACATGATTTTCTGAATACAAGCCATCATTGTTTCTGTTTTTAAAACCTAACAGCCTCTTGTTTTTGTTTTGTTTTGTTTGTTTTAAGATATTATTTTTAAGTAATCTCTACACTCAACCTTGTCTCGAACTTAACAACCTGGAAATCAAGCCTCCAATGCTCCACCGACCAAGCCAGCCAAGCACCCTCAGCCTCTTGTTTTTAAAGAATTCTTTATTGTAAGTTTACCACCCTAGCCTTATATTGTAGTATTTCCCCCATTTTAAGTATCCCCCCTTTTAAGTACTTACGTTATAGTAGAGCCTTTTCTTTTCTAGGTCAAGCTTTCCGAAATTATCTTCTAGAAGTATTAAGATTGACTTTTGTGAATCAGTTCTTACTTCTACAAAACATGGCGAGTGGAAATGTACATGTGGAATCATTCTCATCTTCCTTTTTTCAAAGATTATAGGAATGGCTAATCCTGTGATTCATGGCACTGGATTTAACCACACTCTTTTGTATAGATAACAAAAAACTTAACACTTTTTGCAACTGTTGCTAACTTAGAAATTGTGTCTAAATCCAGAAGCCATGCCAGGTCAATCCTGGACATTTGTTGTCTCAGAGGAGAGCTACCAAAGGACTGACATGGTTCGTAAAAAAGATACTGTAGTTTATTAAAAAACGAAACAAGATTGTGTTTTGGGTGGAGAAATCTGCTCTCGAACCTCCTGCGGTCAGTGCCCGTCTCTATCTCCTCCTTCCGTCATCCTCCTCTCTTCAAGCCTCATTCTTACCCACTCTAGGCAAAGGAGTGTACTCGGGCTCGGATTTTTAGGGTCACATCCTGGGAGACTAACGCACCGGGCCACCCCACAAGAAGAAGAGTGGGAGGGCAGTTTGGCTCTCCCTGCCCACCTTTGTCCCGGCTCAGACACCAGCCCCGATTTAAAAACGCTCACGCCCCCAGGTCGAGATTTCGCGGCAGCGCGTTCTCCGCTCGGCAGGTGGCGCTGTGGGCTGGCGGGCTGTGTCTATCTCGCGATGTGGTCCCGGAGGACCGCCCCGCCGCCGCCGCCGCCGCCGCCGCACGTGCAGCCGCTTCGGGCCGTGGTGGCCTGTATTCGCCTGAACCTGCTGCTGGGCGCCGGCAATGGCGGCAGCGGCGGCGGGGATGCGCGTGTTCCTGGAGGTGCGGAGACGGTTGCAGAGCGCGCTGCTGATCCTGGGGTAAGGCCGGCGCTGGGCGTGTGGGCAGCTGGGCGCAGTGCGTAGTCTGTTGTTTCTGCCGGTTGGGGAGCCTCCGCCTCCCTCAAAAGGACCGAGTTCTGAGTTTCTTTCCAGTTGCTTAGAGCCTGTCATTTACTCAAAGTGGAGTTTCCCCTCCTACCGCCCCCCCCCCCCCCCGGTAATCTCGGCATCACCTGGGAGCTTTTTAGAAATGGAGAGTCTCAGCCCCACACAAGACCTGTGTAATCAGAACTTATATTTTAATACGCTTTCCAGGACTCAAAGTACACACTTTGAGGAGCACTGATGTAACATAACAGTGCCAGGCTTTTCCAAAAACAGTGCAAAAAAAAAAAAAAATGCCTTGCCTTCTTTTTGGGATCCTCATTAGAGGGTAATGTCCAGTGTGAGAGCTTCCTCTTTTGTACATAAACTCGGGTTGTTGTTTTTTTCTCCCCAAGCTGTTGTCTGCAGAAAAACTGACACATTCACTGAACGACTAACAAAGGTTGCAGACTTCTTACTGGAGCTCATTCTTGTATTCACATTGCGCGTTCCAGTGAGAAGTCAGCAAACGTTTAACTTGTTACTCACTACACATTCAAGAAACTTTTAGGAGACATGGTCCCTTGTTTGGTAGTATGTGACCCCCTCGATTATTCCCTTGTGACTGCCGTTTCAGGTAGAGTAAATTAGATGTTAAAATCCTGAAATTTTTACTACACTGAGCCACTCAAGAGGTAGGTTGATGCTTTCTTTTCCTTTATCGGCCTTTCCCTTAAATCGGCCAAGTATAGGTGTGGCAGTCTGGAAATTTGGCATGAGAACTGAATTCAAATCCTAGCCTCTTCGCAGGAGTAGAATCGTTTAATCTGAATTTTTTCAATTGTAAAATATGGGTGATACTTATTAGTCTTTTTTCTTTCTCTTTTTCTTCTCTGTTTCTCCCTCTCCGTCTCAAATCATAAGTTCAGGTAAGTATCTCCAATTCCAGTCCACCTTGTGGGGTTATTAGCAGCCCCAATCTTACGCAAAACAAAAACAAGACAAAGTCCCTACTTCCTCTCATCAAAGGGGCCCTTCAAAGTTCCCTGGGTTACTCTCCCTTGTTTAAGCAAGTGAAGAAACCTGACTTTGCTAGACTACTAGTTTGTCCCTAATGGTCTTTGGCTGTTGAGTTTTATCACCAACTTGCCCCTCATGAAAGCAAAAGCAACCATTCTTCTGGTTTCATTCAACAAAGATTGGTTTTTACATTTCATGATCTGTATATAAATGGATTCATACAGTATGTACTTTTTTGATTCTGGCTGCTTTCCTTCAACAGTGCTTCTGAGATTCGTGTTTCATCTGTGTCATTGCACATGTCAGTCTATTTTTTTCTGGCCGAGTAGTTTTCTACTGTATGAATATACAATTTGTTTACCCATTCTATTGCTGGGTATTTTGTGTGTTTCTAGAACTTGATTATTATGAATAAAGTTGCTATGGCATTTTAGTGGTCATACATTTTCATTTCTCTTAGGTAATTACCTAATTCTGTAATAGTACAAAATTCTATACCTTTTCATTTGGTTTTTGTTAATTCATACGTGTTCCTTTGGAAAGTGTCTTCTGATTTTTTGCCATTATAAAAAATCAGGTTGTTTGTCTTATTGTTGAATTTAAAGAGTTCTTTCTAGAGTCTGGAAATAAGACTGTTCTTATTTATGCCTTGTAAATATATGAATACTTGTTCCCAATCAGAAATTTACCTTTTCATTTTCTTAATAGTGTCTTTTCAGGAACAGAAGATTTTTAATTACAATGAACTTCAGTTTACATTTTTTCTTTAGTGGTTAGTGTTGTTTGTGTCTTAAGAAATCTTTACTTACCTCAGGGTTGTAAAGTTTTTTCCTGTGATTATTTTCTAGGAGTTAGTTTTAGCTTTTATATTTAGGTGAAATTCATTTTTTGTGTTTGGAACGAGATAGTCAAATTTCATTTTTTTTTTTTTTCCTATAAGGGTATCTGGTAGTTCCATCACCGTTAGTTTAAAAGAGTGTCATTTCTCCCATTGAAATAACACAATGTCTTTGTCAGAAAACCTTTGACTGTACTGTTTGGCATCACATATCTCTTTCTATCCTTTTACTGTTAAAGTATGCCTTTATATATAAATTTTTTAAAAAGCATATGCTGGGTGGAGTTTTTCTGAGTCCATTCTGATAATCTCTGCATTTTAAACTTTTTAGTCTGTTTATAGTTACTGTAAATGATAATGATTTTTATTCTTGTTCCTAATCTTAAAAGAAATGTTTCTGATGAGGGAGCAGAAGGCTAGCTGATACCCTGCAATCTCCCCCCACTCTTGGGTAGGACGTGTGTGACATTCTTCCAGGAATCTCCCACTAAATGTTAATACCTTGCTAGAGGGGAAAGCAACCTTGGCTTGACAATGGCAAGACCTCTGATATCTTTTATCTTGTAGGTTGGAGCTCTTTAGCATATGAAAGTTCTTTTGAAACCTCCTTTTTCCTTACTTCCGCCAACTCCAGAGTATATAATCAGCCACTTCTCAAGACCTCCGTGCAGCAGCTTTTTCTGCCCACAGGTCCTGTCCCCAAGCTTTAATAAACCACCATTTTGCACCAAAGACGTCTCAAGAATTCTTGGTCGTCGGCTCTGGACCTCACCCCACCAAACCTCACCAATATTCCAAAACCCCATCATTTTTAGCATTTTATCACTAGGTATGATGAAATTGACTTTTGGCGCATCTGTGTGGTAAATTGCATGTTTCCTTTCTATTCCTAGCATACTATGGGTTTTAATCATTAATAGATACTATATTTTCTGTAATGATTTGTGCATGTATTGTGATGGTCATTTTTTTCCTTTCATATTTACATCTGTGAATTGCAATAAAAAAATCTGTTTATGTTAAGCCATTTTAGTATTCCTGGGGTAAACCTTGGCCATTCATTTATTCAGTCCACAGATGTTTACTGAGTTCCTATTCTCATCCCGAAAACTCAGATTCTAAGTGCTGGAATCCAGCTGTGAACAGTGACAAGGGCAAAGACAAATATACTTGGCTGTCGTTGAGCTTATAGTCTAATGGTGGCAGTGGGTGAGAGGTGAGCAGAAATTATGCAAAATAAATAAAATATATATGATATTGAATGGAGATAAGTACATAGAAAAAAATAAAACAAAAAGGGATAGGGAGAAAAAAGTATAACCCCTTACTCCAAATCAGAAAGCAACACTTGAGTAATAAACCAAAAGGGGAGAGGTTTAGAACTATATAATATGTGGTGAAAGACTGTTTCCCTCTGAGAGAATAGCAAGTTTGAAGGGATGCCAAGTTCAGAGAGATGTGGGTGGGCTGGTGGAGCGCATAGTAAAGGGTCTTACAGAGGTATGTTAGTAAATGTTTAACAGCCTGCATTCTGAGAAAGCCAATGAAACTAACAAAGAATCTTCCCAATTTGCAGAATTTACTGATTGCTGTGGTGTAGATATTTTCACTATGGATGATGTCAAGCTACCAAAGTGAGGTCAACCAGTTTGCAATTTTGGAATTTTAACATCTGTCCCTAGTATATTACTGGGTCTTATGTCTTATGGGCCATTGAAAGAATTTTAGCTTGTACTCAGAGTGAGATGGGAAGTCATTGGATAGTTTCAAGCAGGGTGTGGTACCTGAAAGAATATAAGTTCACAGTGAAGAAAGCCTCAAGTATGGAAAAGGTGTGGACAGTTAGGGTCGCAAACACTTTGTTTTTGGACAGTTTTTCAACCTTGAGAGTAAGTTACTGTCGCTCCTGAATACATTACTGTGAATTTCCTACAAATAAGAACATTCCCCCATATAACCACCATACACCCTTCAAAGCTGGGGAATAGGTTACTACCATCTTAACACTCAGACCTCACTCAAATTTTCCCACATGTCTACATAATACCTATAATAGCAAAAGAACCCAGTTCAGAATCATGCATTGCAATTTCATTGTCGTGTTTCCTTAGTCTCTTAAAATTCGAAGAATTCTAAATTTCCCTTGACCTTCACAATCTTAACACTTTTGAAGATTACAGCCTTCCATTTGGGTTTGTTTCATGTTGCCTCAAGATTAGGTTCAGGTTATACATCTTTGGTGGGAATATCACAGAAGTGATGCTCTGTTCTCATTACATCCTATCAGGTGTCACATGAATTTGACTTATTCCATTAAAGTTCATATTAACTTTGAACATGTAGATAAGATGATGTCTGCCTTTGCCACCATAAAGTTACTTTTTTTTTTTTTTTGAGGCTTTGACATTTTTATTTAGGAAAAGATTGAGTGTGAAGGTATAATGGTTCAACCTAAACCATCCCTTTTTAAATAGAGGAGTCAATTTATGCAAAATATTTTTCCTTGTCTATAAAAAACAAATTGAACAGTATTTTAATGATAAGGAAATACAAACATAGACTTTAGTCAATGTGCACTATCGTAAAAGAAATAGGATGGTCTTTCCCTTCCCCTCCCTCAGCCAAAGAAGAGAATACTGCAAACTTTAAGAACCCCACCGACTATCATCAGAGTACCTACAGAACAGGGGTAGCGCAGGATGAAACTATTTCTCTATATTGCAGAAGGTAGAAGCGTGGATGCTCTGGCTTTACAAGTAAAAGTAGCACAGGCAGGCAGAAGCTCCCAGTAAATAACACACCAGAACGGGGGCCTCGGTGAAGTCGTCTGACCGGGTTACTTCTTTGACAGGAAAGAAGAAAGACAAATCTGAAGTGTAGTAAACGCGCACACACACATACACACACACAAACCTTTTGTCACATTTACAGGAATTCAAACCTTTTGTATTCCCATGCTCATGGGTAGTTTTGATATACGCTGTAAAGAGCTGCAGTATTCAGGACAAAGGACAGGAGAATTCCTTACAGTATGACAAAGGACAGGAGAATTCTTCATACTTCTGATATCTCAGATTTGCTGAGTCCAATAGCCAAT